ACACACACACACACACACACACACACACACACACACACACACACACACACCAAAAAAGAAGTGAACATACTATTCTCTTATGAGGAAATATTAGGGTTCACAGTCTATTGGTGTGTGTGTGTGTACGTGTGTGTGAGTGTGTTTATGTATGTATGTGTGTGTTCCTTTTTTAATTTAAATTTAATTTTCTTTAAGTAGTTGCACAGAGGGTTTTCAATTCCACATGCCAACTTATGGTCAATGTCATACCTTTCATCTTTCTTCCCCATCTATCCCAACCCCACCTCCAGTAGATATAAGCTTTCTAAAGAGGAGAGGTTTCCAAAGTCTGCAAAGTCTTTCTTGTTTCTGCTCAGAGTTATGATCTCCTAATTGCTCTCTAAACATTGTCCCATTGCTAGATAGTGATAAGGAATGTGAAAAATCACTGACTCAGTTAATATACTCAAGAAAAGCATGTGAAGGTGAAATGTTATCCCAGGACTCAAAACCTGGTTTGGGATACTTTTGCCATACTTTTGCAAGTATTGCTTGGGTTTCCTGTGCCATGGAGTGATCGGAGCTCCTCACCAAGTTAGTAGTCTGTAGAGCAGTCCTGCTGTCATGCATGTCCCTTACAACACCTCTCCATCCTCTCTCCAAGACCGCTTGCTGCCACACTGACCTTTAACTCTGCTAGGATTAGACTTCCCACCCAAGTGCTACCTTCAGGGCTGATCGCTTACATTTATTGTTGGACTGCTGATTATTTTGGTTGTTCAATCTTTCTATGTTAGGTATGACAAATACTAAAGGAAACAGTCGTTTCACAGCAGAAAGTATTATCTAATTTTCCTTGTGACCCCCAAGTCAAAACATTATTTTCTAATATTCCAGATAATCTCTCTCTTCATCAATTTTTACAAGACCACAATAAAAAAAACAGTGTGGATAGCTTTTTGTTTGTTCATTTTCCTTTTCCCTTTTGATTATAATGAAGTTTGAACTCACAAGACCTTGGACTTGCTAGGCAAACCCTCTCCCATTTGAACTAAGACTTCCAACCCACTTTGCTTTAGTTATTTTTCACTTAGAGTGTCCTGGCCAGCCTCAACCTTTGATCCTCATACCTTTACCTCCTCAGTAGCAGGGATTACAGACCTGAGTCACCACACCCAGCTCATAGCTAAATGTTTCAGTTGAAATTTTTATATGGATATAATTAGATTTCCAAAAGTCTAGCAACACCCACTTATCCTTGGGTTTATAAATCTTTAAATTTTACTATGGACACTTCCTATTGCCAACAGTTGTTTGTCTAGACACTGTACAATGACTCCTGTAAATAGAATGGAAGCAAGTCCAGTCTGTAGAGGTGTTTAATCCACTAAGGGCTGATCATGGGTCTAGTGCTGCAGCATAAACTTCTGCTTGCTCTAAGTCTCATCCATCATCTCCCGAGGCTCATCGAAGTGTCATTGAGGTTCTTTTTGCATGTGGCACAAATCATCTTGGGGCAAATTAATCTGCTTAATTCAAAACCCATTTACTGAGATGCCCCAGTATGTGCCACACACGTGACAGAAAGCTGCACACAACATGTCAATTTGGAATGTGGTTGTGTGCAGCTTTTCTTGTTCACATCACTAATTGAAAACAGAGGCAGTGTGTCCCACTTATGCACCCAGGGTGCTGTTTGCCTTCATAGTTCCACTGGGTATGCAAAAGGCTAGATTACTGCTAATTTGGAGAACACACTACATTTACTAGTAAAGTAATAGAAATTAAAAAGGTAAGTGGTTGGGTTTAGCTTTGGTCTGTGTATCATAATGGTTTCGTTTCTTCTACATTAATATGCTTTGAGATTTTTGAGGGCAGAGGCTGAACACATGACAGTGGCTTAGGAAACAGATTTAAAGCAGTCTCTCTGAGAACTTAAATAATGTGACAGTCATCACAGTGTAAAAATGCGGTGCGATCACAAGGGCCTGTGGTCCATTCTAGAAATTCCACCAATTTTTCAAGCAGCTCCTACTTCTATTAATTACCTTTGGGAATTACCTGCCCACTTTCCCACTAGTTCTGCACAGATAAATCTATATTTCACTCTCCTTGCCTTCCTTTTGCACATGGCTCTCTCATTCTGGCTTTTTTTGGGGGGGGGGTCATTCTATCACTCTGGAGTCTCATCCACCTCTTCCCAAAGTGACATACTAAAATTTTCTTCTAAGTTAGAATTTTAACAAAGATTGGTAAGCATTGATTAAACAAATAATTTTTTTCTTTTTTCTCAGTTTCCTCCTTTCTTTCCTCCTTCCTTTCTTCCTCCCCTTTTTCTCCCTCCCTCCCCCCTCTCTCTTTCTTTTTCTCTCTTTCTTTCTTTCTTGGTGCCAGTACAGTGGCTTGAAGTGAGGGTCTCACATTCTTGCTTGG